TATTATTAGATTGTGCCACCATGGCAAGTCCTTATTTTGATCATTGCCAGAAGCTCTTCATCACTCCACCACAAGCTTCCTCTTATGTCAATCCACTTTATGATGAGAAGGCAACAGCTGACAGTGAATCTATCAAATCACTTGCTGAAAGGATAGCTGATTTTGCTGAGGAATCTAAAAGGCTTCATGAGGAACGCCTAAGGAGGTTGGAGGAAAATTTGAAAGTGTGCAAGTTAAATCTTCCAGAACTTAAAACCCCTCAACCCAAAAGTGAGGTTTTTATGGAGGATTCAAAGAAGTGCCATGCAGCCACGTCTCCAGGAACTTTGAAGCAGTTTTGCAAATCGCAAAATGTGACAAAGATGCCAATTGTAAGTGAAGGTCAAACGACACTAAGGTCAGAGAGTAACCCCATGATCACAGTCGGGGGGCATGAATCACAATTGCAGTGTGTTGTCCAAAGTCAGCAACACCATGCAGCTTTGGAGGCGACTTCAACAAGTATGCCTCCAAGTCATTCTAAGTCTGCAAAGACTAATACTAGCAATAGTCCTCTTACTCCTGGGAGGCATAAACCAACTCAGGTGCAGACATGTTAGCCATCGATCAATGAAGGTCCATCTGATGGCCGACAAAAAGCTGATGCTGCTACACAAAAGCCAACACTTTGGCCAGCATCAGTACATAAATCTGATAAGGTATCTACCTCATCTATTTCTACTTCTTTTGAGACTAATGAGCATATTTCTTCAGCCTTGCTTAAGAAGTGTTCGCGACGACCATGCTTTCTTAATGGTCAAAGCCCTTCCAAGTTCAATTATGGACAATGGTTGAAGGTGAAATATCCTTTTAAAGTCGTTAGTTTGAAGAGGGGAGTCATTTCCAGTCTCGGGGGGCAACCTAGTCAGATTGAACAACAAAGGTTGCAAGACCTTATTGCCAATGAAGTTCACAAAGCTATAAAAAAAGAGGTAGCAAGGTTTGTGCCATTGCAGCCTGATGTCAATCCAAGCATCCAATCAATGTTGCCGCAGCAAAAGCATGTTTGCAAGCCTAGACTACCTCAGCGGTTTGCAGACTCATTGCCCAAGGCCACTCAAGTGGTATGTAGGCCACCATGTTGTCCAACATGCCGTAGGCCATATTCAAAAAATAATGATTCTTTCCAAAGTGGCTTTCACAAAAAATTTCCAGATTTTCCTTGCAGCCACAAGGATAACATGGGAGGTGGCATAAGAAACTCCATGCCTTCACATCTGCCAAGTCGAAGAAGGAGGAAGAAATCTAAAGACCTCTGTTTGACACCAATGAAGGAACAAAAGCAATAAACCCATGTCTCTGAGTGGAGGCACGGGGGGCATGATCTCATAGAAAAGCATGGAGGCATGTGCAAATGCTGCCTTTATAAACAAAGTCAATTTAGACATTGTCACCATATAAACTTGGTGGCCTGCCCAGAGTTCCCTACCCAAAATCCTAGGACTCTTCGAAGGCGGCTTCAAAAGAAAAGAGCTAAAGAGCGTCGGAGACATGTTGCCGAGGTGCATGCTTCGCAATGGCAACAACCACCAGGGAGGCAAAAGTTTATTTGGGTGGAGAAGAAGAAACACAATGCGGCTTCTCAAGAGGCAAATCAGAATTTAGTCAATGCAATCGTGTCTCCAAAGACGTCTGCCAAGTGTGTTCCTTTTAAGTCAAATGACTCAAAGGCAGCTAAAGAGCTTAATGTCAGTAGCAAAACAATTAGCCTTGGTGAGTTTATTACTGAACTTCCAAGTTCCAATCCAAATCTCCCTTTTGTTTTCACAAGGAAGCAAGATGCAGCCTCTAGTAGTAAAGGGGCAGCAAAGAACAAAGCAAACAT